TGAGCTAGCCTCCAGCTCACACATTTTTGTCTTAGCTCAGGAAGGATGGCTCCAGAACAAACTAATTTATTTAGTAGCTAAATTGCTCGCTCACAACTTTAATGCTAGTAGTTCACAAAGTAGAATTTTTGCTCACAAGACTCCGCAGCTTAGAGGGAGCGTTGCACCAGAGTGACTATAGGAATTTCATACGGCGCAGAGAAAATTATGGATATTTGCACCATCACTGATATTCTCCTGATGATGACTGCCTGCATGCAATTTTCTGTTTTTTGAATGATGCTTGAAAGGAAAATCACGTATCTGGCAAACAGAAGCTGTGGGGAACGGATGAAAAAGAAACCGAGACCTGAGCATAGCCTCCTCCTAAATTATATATATGTATATACAGAAGCACACAGTTCGAACATCCTCCTGGATTATAATGAAAGCGAGAAGGGTCACCTAAATGGATTTCAGAGGCCGGCTTGTGGCTTCCAGGGGAACGGCGGGACGAACGACAGTGCTGCTAAAGAGGTTAAGATCTCCAGTCCCTGCATGTCAAAAACTGATGGATAATTGTAATTAGCTTTCAGAATTTTTAATTATAGAAGGGGTATAAATAATCACAAAGAACAGCTCCTCTAATGAGAATCCTTGTTCGCAAGAACATAGGGACCCATTTGTTAGGGGGACTCTGAAAGCACCGCTGTTAATTAGGTGTCTCACAGCCAGCAGGGTTTCAAGTGTGGCACGGGGGCGGGGAGTGGATTTATACATTTAAATCAAGCCCATTCTGAGATGTATCCAAAATCAATTATAGGGGAAATTGTGGCGGGGGGGGGCGGGGGGGGGGGGCGCAGGGGGGGGGGGGGGGAGGTCCCTCGCGTGGCCCCGAAAGCCGGCTCCGGCAGCAGGAGGGGCTCCCTGTCTATCTCTCCCCCCCCGCAGAGGCCCTGCACCTGGGCAGCCTGATCGTGAGGCACGGCTACATCTACCCGCTGAAGGACCCCCGCAGCCTGGCCTTGCGGGCCGACGAGACGCCCTACCGGTTCCAGGTGGGCCCGGGGGGAGGGGAGTGGGGGGAGGCCCCCGTGCACCAGGCAGCCTCCAGGACCGACTCTCTGGGCCGCCCTTGGCCTCTGGGGAGCCAGAGGAGCAGAGAGTTGCTTTTGGGTTGGGCGGGGGCCTCCTTTGAGCAGGCCTCACTCACGCTAGAAGCAGAGCGGAGGGGGCTGGGCAGGCCTTTGCCCCCCCCCCCGGCTGTCCTGGAGAGC